ATCGTATGGGAATTCCAATTAGCTTTTATATTATATATTTATGGTCAATCTATTAACCGATATCATTTTAATGGGGGCTCAATTATCTTAAACGTGGAGAGTATTTTTCCTGAATGTTCGACCTATATATTCATTCTTTATGTAGCATCTCCATTGAATGATTTTCAATAAACTTAAACGAATTAATAGACTTAAACATAACATATAAATATTAAAATATGAACATTCCGGTCAACGGGCCGGTTATAAGCTAATTTTTTTATAGGAGCCAACTATTATTTTCATTACATCATTTTCTAATTTTTTAATTTTGTCATTTCTGCTACTAAAGCTTCTGAATTTCCGTAGCTCTCGTGTCTAACACTTGGTCTATAAGAAAGGAGCCATCTACTAACCAGGGTTTCCTCCAAAATCTGACATAATGTTTGCCCCTATATTCCAGATGATGCTTTGTTTCATAATTGGAAGGCCATCTGTAACCCCTCTACATTGTCTCGAAGTTATGTGATGCTACATTGTTAACGGCCCATTCTCATTTGTTTTCACATAACCCCTGCAAAACCTATATCAACAAAGCATTTTGATTACTAGGAAAATAACAACCAAATTTCATTAGGTCCTCCACCCTCCCTTGCCCTGTCAATAGTGTTTTTTTGTTTGCATGAGACCAAGTCAAAATTATGTTTTCCTTCTTCTACGTGCCAGAAGAAAGCTCTTATTCTTTATCAATTTCCTAACAAATATGGAACATAAATATTTTTTGTTTGCATCACATAATTTGAGAGAGCATTCAGCACCGAGACAACTAATTAAAGACACCCGCCCCGCAAGCGAGAGACTTCAAACTTTCCATTGTAACGCTAGTATAAATAACTAGACCCTTCACGACAAACATTTTGCTGATTCACATTCTCGTTCTATCATTGGTATTTTTGGCTAATATTTTGTTGATTTCTCTCCTGACGCAACACAAAACTTGTTAAGGCAGTCAATGAAGGCATCCCGCTGTCTTGCTTCAGCATCTGCAAAAATAATGAGATCATAAAAAAAATATAGATGAGTGAGACAAGTTTCATTCTTAGGCAGTCTGATAGGGTTCCACAAATCATTTTCTACCGATTCTTTAATACAATGTTAAGCCTTTCAATTCATAAAGTAAATAAGGTTGGGAAAAGGGGACATTTTTGTCTTACACCTCGAGAAGGTTGGAATTCTTCAGTGCACTCGCCGTTTCATAGTGTCAATAACCAGTTGCTCCCAATAACTCGAGTTGTTGGGAGAAATTCAATCGTGGATCATATACCACAACACTAACACGCCCCCTCAAACGAAAGCCACTCAGACGGGTTTGAAGTTTGCACAGGTCTGAAGACAAGAATACCATGTGCTTAACAAATAGGGGTCACCGGGAATCGAACACAAGACCTCTCGGTCACATAAGGCTCTGATACCATGTCAAGAACCAGTTGATCCCAATAACTCTGAAGTGGCTACTGATTCTCATTGCAACTTGTGATTTACATGTTGGATTTATACACGTTGGGAACTAATAGAATAACAAAGTCAGAGAATTTAGAGGTGGTATATGCTGTGAGTTAGGAACAACAGCGGAGTGGGCTGTTGGCATAAAAGAATCCGATTGACTAGGTCTCCTTATCACGCCCCCGCAAGTTGATGGTGAAGAACCTTCAAATTGTTTCAAAAATGAAGAAACTTTTGACGAGGAAGAGGCTTTGTCAGCAGGTCAGCGATCTGGTCGTTGGTGGAGATGTAGCAGACCTGGAGTCGACCGGCAGCAACGCGTTCGCGAACAAAATGGAAATCAATTTCCATGTGCTTGCTGCGGGAGTGAAACACCGGATTGGCGGTGAGATATGTTGCTCTGATGTTTTTGAACCAGTGTTTCGCCAGGCAGGGAAGCGTGACATTAATCTCGGAAAGAAGAACTCGATCCAAACAATCTCGGCGGCTAATGTTGCCAAGGATTTGTACTCTGCCTCGGTTGATGAACGGGCAATGGTGCGCTGCTTGCGAGAGCGGCGATCGGTGACTGAATTCGCCCAGGCGGCGTCAGAGTAGCCGGAGAGAAGCAAAGGAGATGTGTTGCTGAAGAAGAGGCCATGATTGTGGTGCCTGTGAGGTAGCGGAGAATGCGCTTCACAGCAGTCCAGTGATGTTGAAGTGGATTATGCATGTGTTGACGCAGTAGTTAACAGTCTGAGAGATGTCGGGTCTTGTGAACTATAGATACTGAAGAGCCCCGACAATCTGGCGGTATAGTGATGGATCGATGACCGGCGTGAGGTCAAGGTCTTTGATTGTTGGTAGTGCTGGTGTTGATAGAGAGTTGGCATTCTTCACGTTGGCACGATCAAGAATATCCTGGATGTATTTTTGTTGAGTGAGGAGGAGACCTTTGGAGGTCTAGTGAGCTTGGATGCCGAGGAAATATGAAAGCTGGCCTAAGTCACAAACTGCAAAGCGTTCCTGCAATTAGAGAAAAAATGATTGCAAGGCAGACCCTTGGTTGCCAGTGAGTAGAATGTTGTCGACATAAACAAGGACGTAAAGGCGGAGAGATCCGCGAATGAGGATGAATGGGGATGAGTATGTCTTATAGTGACTTCCGGAGATGACAAACATGAGAGGGTCGAGCTGGATTGATGAAGCATGGACGTTTCTTCATATAAACATCTTCGGAGAGGTGGCCATGGAGAAATGCGTTGGTGATGTCCAGTTGACGAACCGGCCACCGCCGAGAGACAACAAGGGATAGGAGTAGACGGAGAGTGGTGGGCTTGAGTACGGGGCTGTATGTCTCGCCAAAGTCCAGCCTAGGTCGTTGTTGGAAGCCGTGAGCCAACAGGCGAGCCTTGTATCTTTCGATCGAGCCGTCAGAGCGTGTTTTGATGCAAAATATCCACTTGCAGGAAATGATGTTACGAGCAGATGCCAGGGAGACGAGGTTCCAAGTTTGATTACAGAGCAGAGCATTGTATTCCTCAATCATGGCAGCTCGCCACTTGGGGTCATGGAAGGCTTGGCGTGCGGTGGTGGGAATAGGTGGTAAGGGCGGTGTGGTGGTGAGGAAGGTTTTGGGTTTTAAATTACCTGTATGGTATCGGGTTTCCATGTGATGGGATGGAGGGGGCGGGTGGTCGTACTTTTGTGGGAGGGGCGGCGGGGAGGGTGCTGTGTGGGGGAAGAAGACGAAAGAGGAAGATGGGGTTTGGGATTATAGCGTAGGGGAAGATTGGGCCTTCTAAGTTGTTTGGAGCAGGGCTTTGTGGGAGGTTGTAGGGGAATTGTGGGCTGGGTGGAATTTGGAGTGGGTTGGGCGGAGGAGTCGGCAGGGGGTGATGGAGCAGTGGGTGGGATTAATGGGGGAGGTGGGGGTGGGTGGACAGAAGGGTTGGGAAGTGGATTGGAGATAGTAGTAGTTGTGGGCTTGGGACGAAATAAGAAGCTTGGATAGGGAAGAGGAGTTGGCCCAGACGAGGTGGGTTGGGCATGGTAAGATGGTGCGAAAAGTAGAGAGGGTGACATAGCATAGGGAAAACAATTCTCATCAAAGAGAACGTGACGAGAGATGTGAATTTTGTTGGTGGATAGATTGTAACAACAATAACCCTTGTGCATTGAGCTATACCCGAGAAATACACAATGAGTAGTGCGAGGTTGGATTTTTGACGCGTGGTGGGTCGTAGCCAAGGATAACAAAGGAAGTCAAAAATGCGGAGAGTGGAGTAATCAGGAGGTTGTGAGTGAAGAATTTTGAGAGGAGTGCGATTGTTTAGAAGGGGTGTGGGCATGCGGTTGATAAGATAAACCACAATATCAAAGGCGTAGGACCAAAATTTGAGAGGAATGGAAGCATGATGAAGGAGAGCCAAACCAGTTTTGACAACATGACGATGTTTGCGCTCGGCACAACCATTTTGTTCGGGAGTATAGGGGCAGGAGGAGCGGTGGAGAATGCCATGTTCTTGGAGGTAGGTGCCCAACTTTTGATACTCGCCGCCCCAGTCAGCCTGAAAGTTTTTAATGGGATGATTGAAGAATTTTTCGACTTGGGTGCGAAAGGTGATGAAGATGGATAAGAGATTAGAGCAATGCCGTGTGGGAAAAATCCATGTAAATTTGCTGAAATGTTCGCAGAATAAGATATAATATAAATGACCATCAACAGACAGTTCAGGAGAAGGACCCCAAACATCACTGCAAATCAAATCTAATGGCCCAGTTGCTTGAAAAGAAGGAGTAAAGGGAAGCTTATGAATCTTGGCTACACTGCAGCCATAACACAAATTGTCGGCCTTTTTATTTGAAACATGAATGGAATTGCGATCTAAAATTTGACGAAGGACTCTAGAATGAGGATGACCCAGTCGTTGGTGCCAGTGAGATAGAGACGAATGAAAGGCACGCGGAGCCACGCTGGAGAGGATGGATATGGGAATCGAGTAGAGACCATCTTTACTCCGCCCGTGGTGGAGGATTTTCTGTAATTGTGTGTCCTTGATGGTGAAACGGTCATCAATAAATTTAATAGAAAAAGGATTAGAGAGAGTAAGGGAATTGATGGAGAGAAGATTATGAGAGGCAGAGGGAACATGGAGAATATTATTGAGACGAAAGGAATGTTGATCAAAGGAAGAAAGAGAGGAGCCGGAGTGTGAGATAGGAAGGGAATTACCATTACCAAAGGAAACCTCGTCGGGGCCTTGATATTTGGTGTGTAGGGCTAGGTTGTTGAGATCAGAGGTAATGTGATAGTTGGTGTCGGAGTCCATGATCCAATCTTGAGAAGCAGGAGAGTGGGCATAATTTGTTATGGGGGAAAAGTGAGGGGAGAGGGACGGGTTGGGGAATTGTTTGGCGAGATGGCCAAAGCCATGGCATGTATAGCGACGGAGTGAGCTGGAGCTGTGGGAGGAATGACGGTGACTGGGCTTGGGCCCAAGGAGTCCTGCCCCGGAACCAGAACCTGCAAAAGAAAATTAAAAATTGGAATAATTAGGGAAGCCACCGCTTCTGCCGCCCCGGCCGCCTCTGCCGCGTGTTGAAGGGCGAGAATAGTTGAAGCGGCCACTGCCATCATGGAGGAGGCCTTGGTGACGGAGACGGTGTTCTTCGTTGAGGAGCAGCCTGGGGAAATCAGCAAAGGCAATTGGGTCGAGCTTGGCTTCAAGGGTTCGGACGAAAGGGAGAAAGTCGTCACCGAGGCCCCGGAGACATCGATCGACCAGTTCATCGTTAGTGATGGGATTGTTGAGATCTGCGAGGCGATCGGCAATGTCCTATGCGCGAGTGAGATACTGGGCATAGGAGTCAACTCCGCGGGAGAGTTCGCCAAGTTGGGTGCGGAGGCCGCGAAGAGTCTGGCGGTTGCCAGATCCGTAGGCTGCAGTGAGTTTGGTCCAAGCATCAAGAGCGGTGGTGCAACCGACGAGACGAGGAAGAACAGAGTCGGTGAGTGAGCCGGCCATGAATTTGGCAAGATCGAAACTGATAAGAAGAGGGAGCACCTACATATGCCAGAGAAGGAAATTGGTGGCAGTGAGTTTGACAGAGATATGGGGAGCAGGGGGAGGAGTGAATTGAGAGAGGGAGGCATCAGAATTGGGAAAGGGACCAGTGGTTTCGGAAGTGGCGGAGGAGTCGCTGGCCATGAGGAAGGAGAAGCTAAGAGAGGTAGAAGAGGAGAAGGAAAAAAAATTAATTTGTCGTTAGGCTGGGAAGCTCTGATACCATGAAGTGGCTACTGATTCTCATTGCAACTTGTGATTTACATGTTGGATTTATACACGTTGGGAACTAACAGAATAACAGAGTGAGAGAGTTAGGAGGTGGTGGATGCTGTGAGTTAGGAACATCAGCGGAGTGGCTGTTGGCATAACAGAATCCGATTGACTAGGTCTCCTTATCACATAGAACATGAAAGGTTTTGTAGATACACAAGCCAATACTAGTTCTGTAAAGTTTCTCTGCAGACTATTAGAAGATAGGGTAGCATGGAGAAAATTCTAATTGATTTATGTCATAAGTCTTTTTCTAAATCTATGCTCATAACAGCAGTACGTACCTCACTCTCCCTTCTTAATGGACATGCAAAACTTTATAGAGAATGAGTATGTTATCCGTGACATGTCGGCACGAAGCTAGTTTGGTTTTCATCCACCAACCTTAGCATGAGTAATTTCAGACGATGTGCCAAACACTTAGCAACAATTTTATAGCTCACATTGCACAGTCCTACTCACCAGCATGTGGTTTTGAAAACTCAGATTGAACCACCCAAAATCAAACTCGTTGTATTTTGGTTTGGAAGTCGAATGGTATATATGCTCTAGTTGTTGTTCGGTTCGAAACAAACTGAACCGTATTTTAAAATTTCAAACCGAATTGTTATAATACCCACCTAAACCCAGCCAAATTCACATTTATCCAAGCCCACTCTCAATCTCACACAAGCCCACACCAATCGCCATTCAATCCATACGGATTTCCCTAAACCTAGAGAATATAAATCATCGTGCCTCGTCTCCCACCTCACGTATTGTCCACATCTCTTTCTCTCTTCATCGCCAATCCTCTCCATCTTTAGCAGTTAGTAATGTTTATCCTCTCCTCCTCACCAAAACCCAATCTTTCCTCTCTCACTCTCTCAACTTAATGAACCGTGTTCCGAATTTTTGGATACTTGCAATTTAATAATTGGCTTACTTGTCCACGTTGTTGTGTTGATAAAAGAGCTTACCATCAGATAGCTAGGTCTCTTATATCATATTAAAAATAGTTTAAGAAAGAAGTGCAACCCATCCTTTATCACATAAGCAACCGCGGAAGGGTAGAGATCATCGAGTGATCTTCATATAGTTCGAATTATTGGAATCAATTGATTCTTAACATTCTTCGTAGCAAAATCACTAAATCATAATCATCGGGGAAAAAAATCACTAGATCTCTAGGGTTAATCAGCTGAATGTGTAAAGAAAACATATTATTGCACCAGGCAGACAACACACACTCCCACTATCCACTCGATCATATAAGCTGAAATCACATTCTAATACACTAGTTACTGAACATGAAAGGTAACGAAACACGCGGAACATGCACGCGATCATCATTAACAAAACCCATATACATATGAGAAATTTTACAATGCTATATAGTATTTGTGCTATAGGATTTTGTCTTTATGGTACAACTTAAAATTGTACATTTACGTTATGGTACAACTTCAGATTGTACCTATACTTTTTGTACAAATTCTTTTATGGTACAACTTGAACTTGTACCTTTATGTGATGGTACAACTTCAAGTTGTAAAGTTGTACCACAACATAATGGTACAAATTGCTTTATGGTACAACCTAAACTTATACATTTAATGTTATGGTACAACTTTAAATTGTACATTAAAGCACCAATACTATATAGCATAGTAGAAGTGCTCTATACATATAGCTTCATTCAATATCGTTGCAGCAGCCTTCCTTACAAAGTCCATACTAGCGATCTAGCTAGAATATGCCTGGAAGTATCGCGCTGCACTGCAAACATATTACCGAACACACATATATATATACACGCGGTTTGGCTTCCGACCACAGACCCAAAAAACGATATACACACATCAAAATTGTGCACCGGAAACTGCCATATACACATTCTTCACACCGTTCCACCCATATGAACAGAAAGTAGGTAGAGTGACCAAAACCCAAGACAAAAAAGTGTAGATAATGCATGTATGTATGTATATACGTCCAGCCTATACCATACCGTACGCTACGATCAATCGAGACTGTGCGGACGATCGATCGAGCAGCTTTATATATTCAATCTTTGACTTCAAATGATGCAGTAGTAATCCTGCGCCTTCCCTGCCTCTCAGCATACGATCCCGGTAAAATCATAGTCGTAGATGCTGAGATCAGCTTCCTGCTGATGAATATTATGATGAGGTTCCGATGAAGAATAATTGGCGTCAAACACAAGAGGGAACTGATGTTGATCCATATCTGCCAGCAAAGCCTCCAGATCAGCCAGCATATCATCCGACGTCGTGGTGTCCTCCTCCAAACTATACAACCCCAGCTGATCGTAGTAACCGTAGGGCTGGAAGCCGTTCATCTCTTCCTGGTTAAACGACGGCGTCCCGCTGGATTCAACTGACGACCCATCCACTGACGTAGCCGTCTCTACGCTGTCCGAACGTTTGAACTCGGGATAATAATAAGTTTCACGTTCCGATGACGGAGAGGGCTCCCGCTGTGCGGCGACGGGAGCTCCGTTGCCGGTGAGCTCCTGGACAAGCGTCTTGAAGTTGGAGATATCCGTGATGTACACCTTCGGCCGCAGGATCGGACGGTGATCGTCACGGTTTAGTTGCTGCTGTTGTTGAAGGTGGAGGAGGTTCTCTTCCTTCTTCTTGGTCTTCTTTCTGGAGATGAGGTTAGACTTGTTGTTCTTGGGCTTGGATGGGGATATCGATGAGGAGCTGGATTGGGGTTGACTGTGTCTCTTATTCCCCATCGCCATTATTATCTCTAGCTATCTACTCTTTGTTTGTTTGTTTGAACTTCCAAAGCTGTCTGTACCAGCTGTAGGGTTTTGGCTTCGCCCTCCTTCCCCTTGTATTAATTTCTCCGCTTTCGGTAGGCACAGCTGGTCGGAAATGTTTTTATGTTTTTGTTTTTGTTTTTTTTTTTAATGGGAAGACGATGGCTTTGAGGGAGAGAATGAAAGGAGGCGTAGATAGATGGGATTAATTATATACTAATTAATATGTACCAGATGAATGACGAGATATTAGGATTAGTGGAGCTGTGATTGATGGATTAGTCTCCAGGAGATGATGAGTACTGTGGAAAGGTGACAAATCACAATTCTTTAAACCCAACAAAATTGAGAGACAATGACGTTTACGGGGTTTTTTCGCTTCCATTTGATCCTTTTTGGTAACTTTTGATTTATATGTCTGGTTCATTCCTTGTAAAAGAGAAGTATAGTCGGTAGCATTTCAATTCCTTTTGAATTTATTATTGTCCCTTTTGATACACTAATTTGCTTTTGGGGTAATTTGTGGTGACTTTCTAAGGTCATTCGCCTATTCATTAATTCCCACTACATATAGAGTATGTTTAATTTTTGAATTCTTACAGATATTCAATTATTCCACCCTCAAAATTCATCTTATCAGTTAAGACAAAAATTACTTGAGCAGCGTATCTTTTTTTTAATAAATAAACCACGTATCTTTTTACGGGTTGAGTTCCTGACTATTTGCTTACCTGTCATTATTTCATATATTTTTATGGATTTAATTAACCCTTTGGTGTGATCACAAATTTTTCTATTACTAATCTAATTTTAGGGGATGTGGCAACAGTGACATGTGCATTAAATCAACTGGATTGGAAATTTGCAAGAAAATGCTAGGTTTTGTAGTTATTTGGGGGAAAGAGATGAGATGTGGACGTGGGTCTATTTAGGAGGGGAATTATTACGAATAACGCGTGTGGAGAGAAGAATAAATTAACCCAAATGGGATGATGAGGAGGATATTTTGTCTATAAAATATTGTTTGGAAATTGTGTTTTTTTGTTTTTGTTTGAGATAGGAGGACTCGAATGGCACGCAGCTTGCTTGCTAAGTTTGCTCCTTTCGCCTTCCATAGAGTTAAGGAGGAGATGGTTCGTAATAATGATATATGTCTTCGCCAAAGAAAAAGGATGCAAAATAATATAAAACAGAGAGATAATTTGTTTTATTTGGGAGGGACAAGATTATTCATTTACATGCAATAAGTTAACGAGAGGGTTTTGAGGAGGTTGGAGGAGTTATGTAGACTATGCTAAAGACAATATATGTAAGGAATTAATAGTGTAAATTGATTGATGGGGAATTTTTTTTAAAAGATAACATATATTGATCCAAACAAATAGGTAATTACATTCTGGAAACCAGCCAGACCCGGAAATCAAAGAAGCGACTTACAGTCGGATACAAAGAGAGGGCTTTTCTAGCTACCGAGTGAGCTACCCTATAAACTGAACACTAAATCCAGGGTGGGCACGAAAATACTGACATATCTTTTCAAGAACTGTCCCCAACTGGTTGTCGCTTGTGTCAGCTTGATTAATTTTGTCGATAATTACCTTTGCATCACCCTCGAACCGGATTGCCGACAAGCCACACTCTAAATACCAAATAATAGCCTCCCGAAACACAAGCAATTCCACCACCATCGGCTCGTCAATTTGAGGAAACTGAACTCATTTGGTCAAAAGGAGACTCCGCACCGGATCAAAAAGAACCATCCCACCAGTCGAGTGCGACCTAGTCCTAGTGGCCCATCCCGATTGATGGGGGCATATAAAAGAAATTCTATGAAATTCATTATCGAACATCTTTGATCTAACAACTCTAATTATAGTAAAATTGTTGATTTTTACTAGGTCTTGACATACATCAATTAGATGGTTGGAGGAAAATCTCAAATTGTATTAGTTTATTTGTGTCAATTGATGATTGGCTTTGGTTATACATATTTGATGGCACATACTAGGATGGACTAGAATGATAAATTGAGACTAGGTAATAAGCACACATTCAACATCGTCTTATAGAAAATGTACAAGTTAATTAGCCATGAAGAAGGATATTTTATATTATGATAAATGTTCTTAAAGATCGTACTAAGCTTTTAAGTTTTTTAGCCTTCGGAATACCAAAATAAGCTGGGATTGAATTAATTGGGTATCACAATGTAGACCATGTCTGGTGCCAACAACGAAGGTGGAAATGCCTAATTCCCAAGATTTTGATATAGACAAATTCTTTCGATAAGAAAATAAGAATTCATGAGTCTTCTTCGTAACCGTAGGAATTACATGATGTAATCCGATACAGGGGAGAAAAATTTAGGGATTTGGTTTTCGACAAGCTAAGAGAGGAGAGAAGATTATCGATTGGAATAATGGGAAGTTGATTCCTTTCTTTGATCGTACTTCTTCTGGAAAGGGAAGTGGACTTAAGACTGAAAGCCCAATAAAAGACATCCAACATACTTAGTGCCAATAGTATGGTACCGCTAACGCAACTTTTTATTGGTCCACGTGGCCATGAATCATGATTATGTTTTTATTTTAATTAATTTATTAAATTCAAATTGAAGGAACATTTATTCCGCAGAATAGAAACGAGTTGACCATTGAACAACACTTCCTCGATCTCCCTTGCCGGCGGCTTCTACCAAATCACTCCCAGTGACTTGTCCGTCAATCCCATTGCCTCGCCCACATTGTTTCCTCCTAAATTGGGTCTGTAGAACAGAGGCAAATAAATCCCTCGTCTTCCACCTTGATGAAATAGCGTTGTTGCCAAAGTACCAGACTATCCTAGGTCAAAGACGAAGAGAGCCCCCCCTCCTCCGCGTCGCTTTGCATCGTCCCTGTTGAAATCGTCGAAACCAAGTTGTAGGAGGTGTTGAGTTCCCCACCAATGAAAGGGCTGGCTTCAGGTAATTCGATTAATGTGTCTTTGAAGAGGTAGGTAGGGGAATCTAGTTGCCGCCCTTTTTACTCTTTACCCTGCTTCCAAAACACTTGCTTCAAGCGTTTGCAAACTATATATCCATGCAAATATCAACTCGATTTTGTCATCAAACTTTAATGTGTTTGTGACTATGAATTGTGATGTTTGTGAAATGCTTCTGATTGACAATCAATCTAATCTGGTATACTTGTTTGTGTTCCTTTGGTCTGCAGTATAACCGGATTTAGTCCCGGGGGACGAGCTATGAGCCAAACAGAAACTGTATTAGATATTTTCCACCTATTTTCAAAGGGAAATTAAGCAGTCAACTACTTCAACTTGGTCATGTTTATCTGCATGTTTTGTTTATATGATAATTGTAATAATTGATGATGAAGCGAAATAAGGAATCATCTATAAGAAAGGAGTTGTTAACCTGTGTTTTGTTTTGTTTTGTTATGTTAGTCATGTTTATATTGTGTCCCGTCATAGAAGATTTCTTCTATATTAAGCAGTCAATCAAGTCGAAAGAAAGCCTCGAGTGGCCAGAGACGCACTAGAGTAGAGTGGAGTGGAGAGGTTTCACCGACTGTTGCAGTCCTCATCGTGGTATAAGGTCCACGGGAACTATATATATATTTTGTAAAGGTTTCGAAGCCAATTGCATGCGTAGAGAAAACGCGAACCACACTCTATTGCCAATGGTGTAATTGCCTTTTGTAATAGGATGGAGGATATCATAGTCATAGCCATAGGGGTTATTGATCCATCGCCTGCTACTGTAAATGGTGTTGTGTTCCATTGCAGCTGTGCATGAATGTGTAATATTTTTTTAGTATATACAGACCTTATGCTAACTTGGTCAGGCCTGCAGTAGCTATGTATGATCGTCCCCATAACACAAACAAATAAGAGATCTTTGAGATTTCAGTTCATTTTACCCGCATTGTAGCATGCATTTTGCAGCAGAGGTTGTTGGATAACATGTTCCTACCTTTTGGACTATGCAATTTCTTTGACATATGTATGTAAATTAGGAGAATCTTACCTTACTCATTTTTGTAACTCCATCAACATAGTCGCCGAGTCTCATTTTTATTGGTAATGAAGATTATATACCTTTTTGGTCCTAAAGTTTGATGGAAACATACAAGATTTTCCTAGTGTTTGCTTATATGTTCTACCTCCAAAGTAAAGGTGCACAAGCATTCAGATACAATTAAACCACCATCCAAGACTCACTATCTCACGTCAGCACCATTTTACTTCCATCCATGGGTATTTGCTATTCCCCCTTTCAGCTGCATTTCACCAATGCACCTGTAAATCACTATCATATACACAAATATGCTTATTCCATTCATGAATTTGATCTTTCAAGGCAAAAAAAGTATCAGCAAGTCAACTCCCCACAAAAGTTTCCCAACATCTGCTACAACATTTTGACAAAAAAAAACTGTTCATCAATTGAGGTATGTAGATCATCTACTTGTGTGAGGATAACTAGTGAAACTAGATTGGTATCTCTCTTCTGTAACCTAACGCAGCCAAGGAAAAAGTAGAGAATGAAGTAATCAAATCTCAATCCGTTCACTATTACAATTTACAACATATAATAACAAAACGATAATAAACACAGCTGATCAAGGCATAGAGAAAGAGGCAATCAAAGCCAGAACTTTGCTTGAGGAGAAGATAAAAATAAGCTCCAGAAGCAGCAACAAATGTTCAACATAATTTTGCTCCTGAAACTGAAATTAGAGAAAATGGATCATGATCTGATCTAGACTAAGTTGCTTAACCAAATCATTGGCAACCACGTTTTTTCTGAAGCTGTAAATAACATAGTGATGAGTTCAAGATAAATTTTTTTATCAATGCTTCCTTTCTTGACCTCTCATGTTCCCAGTTAACAAATGGTCCCAACTCAAACATTACAATAATCGATGAAGGATTTCAGTGGAAGCATTTGGTAGAGCCTACATATTGGATTGACAATAGATGGAGAAGTCATCGGAAGTGATTTTGAAGCCTCCACCGGAAAGGGAGACCGAGGAGAAGACGATTTCCTTTTTGGGTTTATTTTCTTCTCTCTCTCTTGTTTTTTTTTTATGAATCGGTGGGATCTTATTCATCAAAAAGGCAATTTGCTAGCAACACCCTTGCTAGCTAAGGAAACAGAACCAACCTGTCACAAGCAACAATCAAACACT